CATCACCACGTGACGAATGCACTTTGACCGAAAGGTACAAGTCTTTGACTCCTGCAGCAGATGTAGCCAAGGAGATAATCGAAGCACAAAATAAAGATATTTTCAAACGGGTCGGGTTTCCATACCCGATAATTTCAGTAATCGGTGGAGGAAAAAGAGAAATCGATCTTTACGCGTATACATTCGGTGCAGATTTGGTCGTTTTCTTCTTGATTGCAATCTTCTACCAATCCGTTATCAAAAACAAAAGCGAATTACTCGATGTTTATCAACTCGAAGACCAGTTCCCAAAAGAGTTTGTTTTCATTTTAATGGCAGTCTTCTTCTTGATCGTGCTTGATCGAATCATCTACCTCTGTTCATTCGCCACTGGAAAAGTGATATTTTACATTTGTAACCTCCTTCTTTTCACCATCTGTGTCACAAACTACGCGTGGAACACAAAGCCATCACAGCAAAATGCAGCAGGGTTTGCCCTTCGTGCGATATTTGTAACGAAAGCGATTTCTCTCGCCTTTCAAGCCATGCAAATCCGATCGGGGGTCCCACATAAAAGCACACTGTACAGACAATTTTTAACCAGCAGTGTAACCAGGGTTAACTATTTAGGGTACAGACTCTATCGGGCCCTACCATTCCTATACGAGTTAAGATGTGTGCTTGATTGGTCATGCACCACCACAACGTTGACCATGTACGACTGGCTCAAGGTTAGTATAGTATCCTGTTCTCTATCTCCCGCCCTTTTTCATCGTCATTTTCCCGCCCTTTTTGGTCTAATAGTCTTTTGTTATCTGTCCTGTGTAGTTGGAGGACATAAACGCAAGCTTGTACCTCGTGAAATGTGACACTGATTTAAACAGGGCGGGTCATAAACAAGGAGACAAGCAAACCAAAGTGACGAAATTCTGCAACGGGATATGCTTATTCTTCATATTAATATGCGTCATCTGGGCTCCTATGCTTGTAAGAAATCCATCAATTTTTTTTTCGCATTTTATTTCAAAGATTTTGAGATTAATCTGGAGTTTATTTGCTTGACAGATGTATAGCAGCGGGAATCCGACAAACATTGCAAACCCTATCAACGACGCGAGCATTCAATTCGACATAAAAACAGAGGGCGGAAGGATAATGTTATACCAAACGACTCTATGTGCAATCACTCCATGGACGAATGTCAGTTCTTCTGAAAATCTTGACCCTCATGGTTATTTAGAATCATATAATGAGAATGATATTCAAGTGATTTGCTGCCAAGGAGATGCGACAGATCTATGGCTTGTTCCAGAAGTTGTTCAGACAAGATTCAGTCAATCGCTTGCTAAGGGCATGGATATGAAGTTTAATTGGATATTGAATCGAGAAAGGCCTAAAAATAAAGAAGTTGTCATGTTTGGGCAAACTTTAGATCAATCGGATCTTCCCGACCCATCCCAAGTTAAACGGGTTCTTGATGGTTTTAGCAACAGTTTTAGGGTAAACAACACGTATCCGAGGTATTTTCGTGTTACGGGTTCTGGGGACGTCAGACCCTTTGACCAGGAGGTATATAATGACAAAACTACCCTTCCTCTTCTTTTAAATAATGACACGTTCAAGTAAAAGGGTATAACTGTAAATGTATTCGCTTAGCTTTGTGAATGGTGATGTTTTGCAGGCTAATGGTGTGGATGGGATGCTTGTTTTGAACCGTGGGGAGTCGGAATGGTGGTCTTTTTTTGATATAAGTCTGTTGAATTCAAGTGTGTGTGGGGATTTGATGGGGCCCATGGCGATTGTTGTGTCAGAAGAAACGCCACGTAAGTGATGTTTCGCGGGTTTGTTAGTTTTGTGTGATGAATTAATGACACTGATATTTTGATTTTTTTTTTTTCTAAAAACTACAGAGGGATTTCTTGGAGAGACACTGAGTAAATTCAGTATATGGGGTCTGTATATTACATTTGTGCTTGCAGTTGGTAGATTCATAAGGCTTCAGTGCTCTGATCTGAGAATGAGAATCCCATATGAGAATCTTCCTTCTTGTGACAGGTACCTATTCCATCCCAGTGTGGGGCCATACATGTCCCACTCTCATTATGGTACATTTATTGGTGTGATGGTAAATGAACGTTTTTGTTGGATGCAGATTGATTGCGATTTGTGAGGATATTTATGCTGCAAGGGCAGAAGGGGAGCTTGGAGTGGAGGAGGTGCTGTATTGGACATTGGTGAAAATATACAGATCACCACACATGCTGCTAGAGTACACCAGCCTTGACTAGCTCCATAGAAAGTCAAAATCAAAGTCAAAGATAAACTGGCTAACGATACAGATGCTAACATTAGGGTAAGTGTCAAGCTTCAATTTTTTTGGGGGGAAGAGAGTGTATCATCGATTCATTAATCTTGTAACATTGTCTGTGTATATATGAATTAATAGGGAGATTGCATTGAGTTCTTTATTTGTAAACATATATACATACAAATACAATATAAACACAATTCTCTTGTTGTTCATACTTTAATTGAAAGGGTATTTTAGAGGTACACAGTACACACACATCTTGTATTGTAACACTGGTATTTGTGGTTTGGGAATACGTGTTTGGAGTTGCTCGTGTGAATTTATATAAGGGAAATCTCCATTTTAGTCCTATTATTTTACCCGCGTTTATGATAAAGTCCTAAACTATTAAATGTTAACGAAAAAGCCTGAAATACCAGATAAAACAGCGAGTTGACCCAATTTACCCGGTTACCACTCTTGCAACCGGTGACAAATCGATGTGGCATTAAATGAGATTAGGTGGAAGGTGAGTCGACCAAATCACACAACCTTTCCTTCAACGGTAAATCATACACACTTATGGAAATATCTTCTCTGTAGACGACATTAAATTAGGGTTTTTTACGTGTGAAGAAGACGACAAGTGTGGCCACGAGTTCGAGTCTTCCAAGCTTTGCAAATAGAAGATGTTTGGGATTTTGATACTATTGATGTTGAAGTAGACAAGGATTTGAAGAAGCAAACCAAGAGATGCAATGATGCGTTCTTGAACAACTTGTGTCCCGACATAGCTGGTGAAGAATGTGATGACTTTGCAATCCTTGAAATTGAACATATGGATGACGATGTTGACATAAATGAAGATGATGCTGTGGAGAATGAAGATCAATTTGACTTAATGCGAGAAGGAAGTGGGTCTGATGAAAAAGTATCAAGTGAAAGCGAGCAAGATTCTAAGCATGAGTTCGAGTACAGCACCCACGATCCAACGGTTAAATGGAACAAGATGAGACCATTTCTGGGAGAGAGGTATGAATCACCCCATCAACTAAAGTTATGTTTAACTAACCATGCTATTCATATTGGTTATAAGATAAAGTTCAAGAAATGTGACAGTCTTAGGCTAGTTGCTGCATGTGCTAGTGATCCACAAAAATTTCAATGTCCATTTAATGTTAGGGCTTCGTGGATGAACACTGAGAGGTCGTTTCAAATTAAGAAACTTGTTGACAAACATAAGTGTGTTAGGAATTACAGAAATACCAGCCTTATTGGTCCAACATGGTTAGGAAACAGTTTCTGAAAGAACTGATTAGGAAGCCCAATTTGAAGTGTAAGGAAATGCAGGTAATTATCCAAAGTAGATTCCACTGCAATGTGTCCTGGTCAAAGTGCTATAGAGCAAAGTGTAGGGCCATGTCTTTGATAGAAGGGAGATTGAGTGACCACTACGCTAAAGTATGGGATTATGGTGGTGAGCTGTTGAGATCAAATCCAGGTAGTTCAATTAAAATTACTGTCAGTCAAAACCAGGATAACACAACTACTTTCCAAAGAATATATATCTGTTTTAAGGCAATAAAAGAAGGATGGAAGGTTGGTTGTCGTAGGGTTATTGGGCTAGATGGTTCTTTTTTAAAAGGTCAATGCAAGGGAGAATTGTTAACTGCTATAGGGAGAGATGCAAATAATCAAGTGTATCCCATTGCTTGGGCTGTAGTTGAAATAGAGAACAAGGTAAACTGGAAATGGTTCTTGGAATTGTTAAGAGATGATTTAGAATTGGATGGTGGAAGGGGTATCGTAGTGATTTCTGATCAACACAAGGTACTTCACAAAACTTTAGTATTTGTTTACTATATATTTCATACTTAGGTTATCTAATGTAATTGTGTTTGTTATGAATAGGGTCTTCTTGAGGCTACAAAGGAAGTTCTACCACTTGCACAACATAGACAATGTGCCAGACATATATATGCCAACTTCAGAAAGGTGTATACTGGTGTGTTGTTTAAAAATATGTTATGGGCTGCTGCAAAATCAACTGTTGAAGGGGAGTTCAACATGAACATGCAAAAGATTAGTGATATTAGTCCATCTGCTTATGAACATCTAATGGCAAGGGATCCCAGTTCATGGTGCATGGCCTTCTATGGTGGATGATTGGCATGTGAGGCAGTAGAAAATGGAATGGCTGAATGTTTTAATGCAGTTATCGTGGATGCTAGAAAAAAGCCCCTACTGACTATGCTTGAGGAAATACGACTATACATGATGGAAAGATTCTATAATCTAAAGGAAGTAGGACAAAAATGGGATACTGAAATATGTCCAGCAGCAATTAAGAAGATGGAAGCATTTGGTGAAAGTTTAAAGTAAGTTATCCTATAATTTAATTCACTAATATTATTTTTCATATGCTGATGTATTCTTAATTACAGGTCCTGGTATGTTCATCCTAGTGGTGTAACTGCTTTTGAAGTATGTTCATCCTAGTGGTGTAACTGCTTTTGAAGTGAGGAATGGTTTTTACTCTTATTGTGTTAATTTACAAGAGTATTCTTGTACTTGTAATTTGTGGGCTGTATCATGGATACCTTGTGTACATGCCCAAGCTGCCATTATGTATACACAACAAGATCCTGTGAGCTACATTAGTAGTTGGTTTAGTAAAGAGAAATATATGTTAACATATGGTTCCAACATACTACCAGTCAATGGTAGCAATATGTGGGTGGAATCTCCTTATCCAAAGCCCCTTCCACCTATTGAAAGAAGGATGCCAGGAAGGCCAGCCATCAAGAGAAAGAGGCATGTTTCTGAACATGAGGACAAGTTTTCACAAGTATCGTCTAAGGGCAGAACTGTCCAATGTACAAACTGCCAGCAAAAGGGTCACAATAAGGTCTCTTGCAAAAATCCCAAGGTGATCCCTGAACCAAAACCAAAGAAGAAAATGGGAAGGCCTAAGTTAGATCCTAATCTTACCCATTGGAGAAGAGTTGGAAGGGGAGGAAGAGGTGGAAGAGGAGGTGGTAAAGGCAATAGAGGTGGAAGAGGAGGTGGTAGAGGTGAACCTAATGCTAAGGTTGAACCTGAGTTTGAGGTTAAACCTGAGGTTGAGGTTAAACCTGAGTTTGAGGTTAAACCTGAGTTTGAGGTTAAACATGATGTTGTGGATGAGGGGGATGGAATTGATATATCAGATATGGATATAATAGTAAGTTCCATTCTAAATTTGAGGTCATCAAACTACAGTGATGCTGAAATAATGTCTGTTCTTGGAATTAATGAATCTCAATTGAAGGAGTTTGGGTGTTTAAATGTGGTGAGTGTTTAATTTTAAGGGCATTACAAATAGAAGCCAATTTTTTAAATTATTTGTTTTTGTATTCAGGAAACCAATGTTCAAGAAGAGACTCAAACAGTACAAGTGAATGAAGAAGAGATCAATGAAGAAGAGGTCAATGATGAGGATACCCAAGAAATCATGAGGAGCAACACCCAAGAAAGCACGATGAGGAAGACCCAACAAATCAGAAGGAGGAAGCCATCAGAGAGGATAACTGAGTTAAAGTTGAAGAAGCAGGTGGTGAGCAAATTTGGGATGACTGAAAGCACACCACTTAATGTTGAATAGGGCAAATGATTGTGATATGGTAGCCCTTTTTTTGTAATTAAGTCATTGTGTTGGCTTTATATAACTCTTTGGGTAAAAATTTCTCTTTTTGTAAATTTTTTGGAAAGTCAAACACTATGACATACTTTGGTATGTAGTTTGGTATGGTTTATAATGTTATTTTGAAAGTCAAACACTAACAGTTTCCTATAGTTATTTGGTATGTACTTTTGTATGGTTTGTGATGAGAAATAGAAATCAATAGATAATGAAATAAGAGAAATAGGAAGAATCAGAGAAGAAGAAGATGATATCATTAAATCTAATGAAATGAATTACAAACTATATTGAATGAAGCAATAACCTCAAACAATCCCAGGGAATCTCCCTCTCTCACTAGCTAAATGGTAAGAACCAAGAACATTGAACAATACTTAATCGACATCCCCAAAATGAAATTACTCTTCCCTCTTTATTCTACTCTCTCTCTCTCTCTCTCTCTCTCTCTAACTGCCTTTCTAGCCACTTTCCATTTTTGCCCTTCTTCCCTTTCTAGAATGCACATGTAATATTCCTAGTTTATTTATAGGGACCCTTATTTATATCAAGGCCCAACCATTCTGAATCTGTATCAGTTTGTAATGCAATTTCCTATAGTTATTTGGTATGTACTTTTGTATGGTTTGTAATGCAGTTTCCTATATTTGTTTGGTATGAACATTCCATAAGAAACATAATTAAACATCCAAAAATTACAACCAAAACCCAAACAATTGCAATCAAACCAAATATGCATTTCATACTCATATACCATTACATTAGAAGATCAATTTTTCCACAATTCATACAATTACATTCCAAAACAAACAGGGAATCCTAACATTACATAGAAACATAAGTAAACATCCTAAAATTACATAACCATAACCCAAATAATTGCAATCAAACCAACCAAACACCAAATCTTCCATCCCTTAAGAACCATTACACCTTCCACTTGCAGAGGAATCTGTTGCACTACTCCTTCCACATCTTCACCCATAAAGTTTTCAAACCCTTCATCATTGACTCCATGAATTCCTTGGTTGTGAAAATCATAGATCATCTGTTTGTACCAGTTGTTTGGTAATGGAGGATCTATCCATTTAAAGAATTTGCAATCCTTTTCCTTATCCTGCATTGGACGACATTTTGCAGTGTAACTACTATGGTGTTTAATGGAAATTTCAAAGATTTGAAGATTAAAACCTCACATTTAACTAATATAGTGTTCTTCCGTTTCCATGAAGATAAAAACCTCGCACTCAAAGATTCGAAGATACTCACCTTGTAATTGGGGCAACCAACGAATCTCCTTCCAGGGTTCTTCGGCTTCCATGAAGTCCACCTGCTAACTGGTTCATCACAATCGCACCTTCTTCGAACTTGCCTGGCTGACCTATATACACTACTGTTGGAGACGGAGGAGGAGGAGGCCATATTCAAAACTTGCAATTCGGTCGATTTAGGGTTTGTGTACTCTCAACATAATAGACTGAGGTAAATAAAGAAAGAGAGAGAGAGAGAGAGAGGTATGTTTGAGTCAACTTCCATGTAAGCAAAATAATGCCACATCGATTTGTCACCGGTTGCAAGAGTGGTAACCGGGTAAATTGGGTCAACTCGCCGTTTTATCCGGTATTTCAGGCTTTTTCGTTAACATTTAATAGTTTAGGACTTTATCATAAACGCGGGTAAAATAATAGGACTAAAATGGAGATTTCCCTTTATATAATTCAGTTAGTTGATTATGAGTTGTGGTTACTGTTGTTATACTATCCTTTTAATTTACAGAAAATCGCCTAATTATGCTTTTGGTCCCGTAGTTTTTAGTTTAACAATTTACACTTTTGCTCCCTATAGTTCTTAATTCTAAAAGGAAATTTATTAATTACATTTCTGGTCCCTGTTGTTTACAATGGATTAACTAATTTTTTTTTTGGTCCCAATAGTTTTTAATTTAGGAAATTGCACTTTTGGTACCTGTAGTTTTTTAATGCAATATCCTAATTTTAGAAAACATAAGTTTTAGACCATCTATATCGGTGCAATATCATTAATGTTTTAATTGTGCAACATCAGCTTTGCAATTACTTATATCAATGTAATAACACTTATCTTTTAAACGTGGTTTCTATTGCCACATCAACAATTATATATATATATATATATATATATATATATATATATATATATATATATATATATATATTATAATATTAACATTTTCTCTAAAATGGTTCCACTAAAAATTTAAAAAATGTTTTATATATCTTAAAATATATATTTGTGTGTAGACATTAATAATAATAATAATAATAATAATAAAATAAATCCTACAATTGCAAACCTTTCTAAACTTGCAATATATATTTCTTGCTGCCCGTCAAAATAAATATAATATATAAATAGTACCTGTAACACAATATGTACCCCTCTAATATATATATAAAATATAAAATATGATATATGCGCCCTTTAAACGAATTACAACACATATCCATATGATATATAATATCGATATATGCTTAGTCATCACTTGCAAGATGAAATAAAAACCGATGTGGATACTTCTTAAACGTATAAATGAAACATCCAAATATGTTCATATTAAAACATTAATACAAACATAGATATCGACGGAACGACCTTAAGACCAAGGTAGGCTTGGGCACACCCTCAAAACTACTCTTTTTTTATTTTTTTATTTTTTTTATTTTTTTTTAAAATTTTTAGAAATAAGACATATTTTGGTGCCAATTATTTAAAAATTATTTGTAGTTCACTTGCCGATTATTTAAATAATTCATTTTTAAAGTTACACTTTGGTCTTTCATATTTTGAAGTTAAAATATTTTAGTAAGTTAGTTTTCAAAATTTACATATTTCGCACCTCAAATTTTATAAATTTGTATAATTCCATTTTATCTAATTTAATTTATTTTTTAGTTTTTCTTTTTTAAATTTATTCTATATAAAAAAAACTGTATTCACAGTTTCATTTTCACTTTTCGCATAGGGCTTTCAAAATCAACGGACCAGTCTTTTATATATATATATATATATATATATATATATATATTTATATATATAACGCCCTAAAAGTTTTTTTTGGTTCCGCCCCTGAACATAGAGTGTGTCATGGTATGCATATAAGGCTAAAGGGCAAAGGCTTATTCGATTTTATCTTTGAGATTATTTTGGACAAACATGGTGAAAATGATTAATATGTTAAGGATCACCGGTCAATAACCTTAAGGTAGACAACATATCAGATCCGATTCAATAGAATAATACTTAATACACTTATAAAGTTTATAACTTTTTTTATTTTATTAAAATCCTAAATTGATTAGCGGGTCAACATGTATGTTTTTTTTGCAAACCCATATACGACCCGTTTAATAAACGGGTTGATAGGTTGAAAAACTCAACCTTAACCCATTTATCTTTTTATCGGTTTCATGTCGGGTCACAAGTCGTATAAAAAGTTGTCAGCCTTAATTTTTAAATCCAATCATAATGAGAATGAGTGGTAATAGTCGGTATGTTGTATCATGTTTATTAATTCTATATTTTCAACTAAATAAATAATACAAAAGGTTGATATGTAAAATTTCTTACATAATTTTTATATATGAATAACGTACATAGAAAAATAATTAGAAAAAAAAAACAAAAGGAAAGACTACTTATTTATTAAAAAAATAAAACAAGTAATAATTAATTATATAATAAAAACTAAAATAAAAATGAGGTTAAAATAGTCATTTTGCCAAATCTATTAAAAATATAGAGGGTTTGATTAACTTTTCAGTCAAATAATGTGATTGAAGGTTGATTGATATTATGGTAATACTAATGTTAGAGGGAGTGATAATGCTCTTAATACGTTGCCATGTAAGGGTTTTTTATTTATTTATTTTTTATTTTTAATGTCATGTAATCTTAGCAAGTCTAGCACAAAAGATAGGGAGTGGTAACATATCAATTTAATAGGTTTGATTTTAGGAGAAAAAAAAGGAAAAAAAAATAAATAATATCAATCAATCAAAACACTTATTTTCAATTTCTCTCAACTCTTTCCTCTTGTTACCAGCTTAACACCTCATTCTTAGCAACTTGCTTAACACCTCTTAAGGGGTGGTCTGTAACACTTATAATACGTCTTAGCATCTTTCTTTAACGAGTTCCACTCCATATAGCCTAAGAAAATAACAAATGAGTATTTCAAAGATCGACTTTTACAGAAAAGTGAAGTTTTAAGAGATCTTGTGTATTTTTGGGTTTAAAGAAAACAAAATATTGGACAATATATTATTAGAGAATAAAATGGTCCAACAAAGTCATTAAGTTGACAGGATTAAGCAGTTTAGGATCAATAATGGCAAATTCCCCTTACACACATACACCTTTACAGTTTGGAAACACACATCGAGTGATATTTGAGAGAAAAACTCAAACTGGCGGAGCATGTTTGCCGAGGCCAATCCTCTGAAAGGATATCATCAATCTAAAATGGTGTAAAAATCGAACGTTTCATTTGAGGCAAATGTTGGAGAAATTTGTAATTGAGGATTGTTGTAGATCAAACCAGATTACTTGTAACATGTATTATTAACTTGTCACTCTTTAATATTTTTTCCACCATCAAATTCCATAAATGTTTGGCGTTGCCTCAAAACCCTGTGGGTCTAACACCAAATTTGGGGGTAAGGCCGTCTGGAGTACTGAAAACTAAGGGGCTCGTGGTCTACGTGGCCGCGAGCATTTTCCATGCACACTAGCCCGAACCTTTGTTGTCAGGCGTGGTCGTGGTGATTTGTGGTGGAGAAGACGAAGGACAACGCCAATCGTTTTCTTCTTCTCTCTTAGTCTTCTTTTGTGTCTCTCTTATTTCTTTCTCTTCGTTCTTGTTGTGGTGGAGTGGTTCGTGATTGCTCAAGGTGGTTGATCCGGAAAGTCTCCAAGACTTTTGTTGTGGAGAGTATTGCAAATGATCTAATGTGTAAAAGTGTTGCATCTTCTAAAATACCATAGTTTAATACCATAT